TGGCAAAACAATACATGCCCCGCTACCTTTCCCTGCTGCCATCCAAGGACTCTGTGATCGTGTGCCCATCGCAGAAATTGTGCAGCCTTTCTGTTTTCACCTTCCTCTCCAAACGACCAAGGAAATACTCTTGCTTTTATAATGACTGGTTACCTCTGCAGCACGTCCCCACTGCTGCCTCACCAAGTCAGGCAGTCTGGTTCTTTCTTGCTTCTCACTTCCAGACGTAGTTTTGACATGGAAAATTGGCTTGCCCTAGGCAGCAGCCGCTTGGTTTTCTTCTGTGCTCCGTCTGGGAGGATGCCATCAAAGTTTAACAGGCCTCTTTTGTTGTCGTTGTCACCTTCTGTGAATTTTAGCTCAACGTAGATGCAGAAAAACCCAAAACAGAAAATACAAAACAACCAGACAGAAGCAGAGAAGGAATCGGAGCCTCTCATTAAAACAAAGCATGATGTTTTCCACTAACACTCGAGCCCCCAGTATCAAACAGAGTTCATAAGCTTCACACAGACAAATTACCCAAATGGTTGCTGCAACTGGCATGTGTGCACCTCATCATCCACTGACGCAGGTACTACTTGATCTGGAATGCAAATATTGGTTGGCACTCCCAGAAAGGGGAAAGTGTGTGCACAGTGGGTGCAAATGCAAATAGCATCCCTTGGAGAAATGACCGTGAAGCTGCCTGTGGTCATGGAAACCACTTCTGTCTTCCCTCCCCTTCCAGCACGGTGGGACTGGAACAGTTTGTTCTCGCAGTAGCTGTCTTGTGCTCAGCCTGAGAGCTCCCGTGAAGCTGAATGTGGCCAGCCTTTGTGCTTCACCGGGCTTCCAGCAGCAGCCCACATACAGTTAACAGTCTTCCCCACACCCCACCAAAGCCCCTTCAAAGAGAAAATTAGATCAAAGTTTTATCAGTTCCCTGTGTTTGAGAGTAACACATGCCAGGATTAATAGTTCTCAATTTTTCAGAAATATTAAAATTTGCTCTCTATTGTCAGGACAATAAATCTTTTACCCTGCAAGTTCATCTTGCTCTGAGAACGACCGAGCGATTACTGACCCCAATTACGCAATTAAATCTTTGAAATAATACTGTTTGATATTAAACAATTACATTTCTCATATGAAAATATCGCCATTCTCTCACCAGCTAAGAGGGTATTAATAATGCATCCACACAGATTCTATTGTGTGTTAATAATGAATGTCTACAAAACCTTATAGGATGTTAATACTGCATGTACCCGCAAAGCTCCATAGGATGCTAATATACACCCACAAGGCCCTAGGAAATGCAAATAGTGAATCCGGAGCAAAGAAATGGTATTCCCTGTCCGTTCTAGTCTCCAATATCGAATTCTGCTCCAGGCAGCTGGACATCATAGGAAGACTTGAAGAAAGTTCAGATTTGAGCTGTAGGAGCAGCCAGATGCTCAGTTGATTTGAGGGAGAAGGGAGACAGCTGTGTTTGGCTTGTTGAGGTCCGAGATTTGTATGTGGTAACCATCAGAAGTTATGTCTGAGATCCACTTAGAACTGGGAGGTTTTGGCACTGACCTCAGTGGGATTTGGTTTGGAGAGCATGAAGATTTACAGGGGACACATGAGTAAAACATGGAAGATGTCGGTACGCTGAGCTAGAGAGTGGTATGAAACCCTCGATGTACCTGCAAAACACAGGTATGCCAGGCTATTGCTCTCCCTGGATGTAATAATTAAAAGCAGCAAAATTGCACTGAGAAAGGTGGAAAGCATCTGGAAGAACTTAGATACTGAGGTCTGAAATATATGAAGTCCTGAAAAATCGAAATAGGGATCTCATTGCTGGCAATAGCTAAAACCAGTCTGGACTGGGCTGTAGGAGAACACTGAAGGGAACGATATGGGCCTGGCTGCGCTAGTACGGGTCTAGGTGGCATAAATAATTATTTCTGCCTGTGTTATGTCGTGACTGCATGTGCTTACAAATCCTATTAAGAGTGAGTGCTGGTTAACAAGCATCCACTGAACTTTCACAAAAATACTAACTTTCCAGTTGCTCTGGGATGATGAAATACCTGAATCTTTGACTCTGAACTTGATGTAAATATAAGCAGCTCTGCAGCATGTTACTGGATGACAGTGATGCGTCTCTACAATTCCCTGCCAGAAGCTGATAATTCAAACCTACAAAGTGGAGGTTACTTGGTAATTATGGAAAGATGTCCTTTACTCTTTTACTCTTCACCCTGGATCTTGGGCACTGCAAGCCGAGAAGCTTCTCTCTTTAGTGCCAAACAATATTTTAAGTGGCATTCAAGGAAAATCCTGTACAAATTTGGTCTAGTCTTCCGAAGCAGGGAAGCTTTTCCTGTTGCCCCAGAGTGGGTTCTGGGGCTCAGAATTCCCATGAGTGAGCCTGACTGTATGGCGCTTGCTGTTCCTCAGGTTTTTCATGAGAGCACATGTTGGAGCAAGCATTGACTTGCTTGACAAGGTGTTTGGTCATGCCACTTGGCAGGCTCAGCAGTGACAGTGACTCTTTCTGGTTGGATGGTGCTCACCCCAGTACCCCATCCTTGGTGGGAGACTTCCAAGACAGGAAGGACGACGTAGTCAGTGTGCAGCTCTGTCTGCATGAGGGAGTGACTTAGGGAGAACATAACCCCTGATCAAGAGAGTTGGAAAAGCAAAACAAACCAGGAGAAAAGTCTCTAAACAGACCTTCAGACAGGTCCCTTAGGAACAGACTGGGGCACTGTGTAACAAAAGCACTATTTGCTTCAACTATAAAACACTCCTTTTGTGATCTCTTCTGTGTGTATTGACTGGCAGGAATGTTCATGGGAACAGTGAATTTTATGTAAATATTAGAGGCTATTTGCAGGAAGCAAAATTTGAACTCATAAAAAGTAGTATTCTCAATGGAAGCCCGATCCTAAAGGTTACTCAGAAAACAGAAACATACAATGGGATTTACTGTATATATTTAACCAAAGTATATCTAACCCAGCTCCGATTTTGAATATCGACTATCTGGGGACAGTTTGTGGACAAACAACGTGCTGAGGATTATTTACCGAGACAAGCCAGCAAATAATTGCAAATGACAAATAAATTGAGAAAATTACAAACTGCTTGTGGACAATTCATGAACAGAAGCGAGGCAAAATTAATCAGATAAATTATTCACAATGAATGAATCTCTCAGCTCTAATTAAAACTCTGTAGGGTATTAATAATACATGCCCAGAGAACCACAAACAGAATCGTATAAGCAAAAGGATCCATCTGTGTCTGCATCGCAGGCCTTCCCGTCCTGGAGCAGGGCGTTGCCGTTTCCAGCATTTCTCAGCATCTTTTGGAGTTTGAACGTTGATCCTGGTTGCAGCCGATAAAACCCCTCGTTGCGCACAGCAAAGCGTGTGGTCAGTGTGGTAGGTTTCTCCACGGATGCTTGTGGTGCATGGGATCCTTCCTTCCACCTTTATTTTCTTGCCGCTTTTCCAGCCCTAGGAGAATTCCTGGGGAATATGCAAAGTGTTGCCTGGGCTTATCTGAAGTTGTTGAGGCTTTTCTTTTGTAAGTGTTGAAAATGATTTTTTTTTTTTTTCAAGATACAGGTACGAGCAAAGAGCAACGAGTTTAATCCCGAAAATGCTGACGAGTGGGAACCACGGTGGCTGCCCCAGCCTGGGGCTCCCCACAGCAGCTTTGCCAGTGTCCCTCCTCCTGCCCCACTGCCCTTTGTACCCCAGTTTGGGACCTCCTGCACAGAGGTCTGCCGTGACCCAGTGTATGCTGCCTGCTCAAGGGAAGCCTTACCCTAAGCAGGAGTATTTTGGGGGCTCAGTCGCTGGGTGTAGCAGGGGTCCCTGCCAGGGACAACAAGCAGAAGGCTGGGCTGTGAGCTGGGCACCTGAACATCAGTCGTGCTGCATGTTTAAAAATTCCAACAAAAGAAGGAAATTGGCTCTTTCCCCCTCCCCCAGCTGTATAATTTAGCTCTGCTTTTAATATAACCGTGTCTTTGGACTCTCAGGAACTCCCCAAACCCATTCCCCCTACCCTGCTTCCCTGCCTGACAGACAAGACCTAGTCAATCAGAAAATTGTTTAATACTTTCCCTTTTATTCCCAAGAGATCTCCTGGCCTTCTGTGTTCCCATTCATCAGCCCCTTTTCTACCAGCTGCCCCCACCCCTCGTGTGTCTTTTATCTGCTTCAAACCAATCACTCTTCCCCTCTTCTTTTCTCACTTCACAAAAGGAATCAGAATTTAATAAGAGCAAGCTGCAAAATATCAGCATTAATCCCCTTGTCCTCATGGGGCTGGCACCATAAGTCCCTGGGTCCCCTTATCAGCACCAAACTGTATTTCACCAGCTACAACCCTTCTGATAGCATAAATACCTGCCACGCAGGTGTCTCCAGCTGACAAGATAACACGTTATCAATCATACATCCCCAATTTACGCAAAAAAGCCCATCTTCCTTCTGTTTATTTCGTCTCGTGGTGGATGGAGAGCCGGGGAAGGGAGGGGCTGAAAAATTAAATCTTTTCTGTTCCCGTACACTTGAAGAGCCAAATGACACATCTCCTGCCTAGGCAAAGCGAAGGCCTTTCTCTCCTGTAATTCACTTATTAGTGGTTGTGCAGTGGTGTTGTTGCAGAAAAATGGGTAGGGAGTAATTGACTGTGGAATCCCATTAAGCTTTGTCATTATTCGCAGTCCCAGAGTGGGCACTGCAGACACACCTCCATCAAAATTACCTGCAGGAGGGAATGGTTGAGGGCTGCTTACACAGATGCAGAAGGCAAAAGATGCTCAGAGGATATCCTGCTCCTCACTGGCCACCTTAGGTGCCCCTTTTGCTCATACATGAGGGCAAGGACATGGCCTTGCCTCTGAGGGCTGGCTCAACCCTGAATCCTTCTCTGCAAGTGAGCAGTCAAGGGACACTTTCCAAGAGGAGATGTGTAGTGGAGTGAGGAGGGACAGATGGCTTTGGCAGTGGCAAGCTTTCACCTCAGGGTGATGGTAGCCTTTCACCTTGGGTTGATGGTAGCCCTTCACCTCAGGGTGATGGTAGCCTTTCACCTCAGGGTGATGGTAGCTCTTCATCTCAGAGTGATGGTAGCCTTTCACCGCAGGGTGATGGTAGCCTTTCATCTCAGGGTGATGGTAGCTGGCTAAGCCACAACCTGAGGAGGGTGCTGGTGTCCTTCAAGGAGGCATCTTTGGGAGCCACCTGTGATAGCAGCTTGCATTCCTCCTGCTAGCTTTCTTTACTTCATCGTACGGGGCAGAGTAGGACTGGGACTGATCTTAAGCGAAGGGGATGCAGCAGGGACGTAGAGGTGCATGTAGGCTCACGGGTTTTTCCACAGCTTTAGTTACATTATATGAACTCTGTAAGGTTAAACTGGTGCAGCCCCCCAGGTCTGTAAGAGTTATTGATATGAAGTGTAGTTTCCCCTGTTCAGTTCAAGGAATGAAGCTTTAATGGTAAAAAGACCCAATACAGGTCTAACAGTTGGTTTGGTTGAAACGTCTGGATGAGATTTCACTGAGTCAGACAGTCAGACTTGTAGAAAGTATTGAATTGACCAGCTTGACCTACACTCTGAAGTCTGATCTCAGTGGTAGCCATCCTGTACAGAGGACCAGTTTAAAAGTCCAAACCTTGCTAAAGAAAAAAAAATTTTTAAAAATGGTACATCATAAGCAGAGGAATGGTGATGCAGTGCCATTTCCATTCCTGGGAGGTGGCATTTTCTCTGCTCCATAGCAGCTTCGGTTCACAGAGTGGCTGATGATGTGTGGGGAGGGAAATAAGCAGCAAGAGCAAATGACCTTAGAGGCAGCAAAGAGCCTGGTTTCCATTGCAAATGCCCTTATTAGGATGGAAAAAGGCAGGAACAAAAAAAAAAAAAAGAAAAAAAAAAGGCAGAAAGTACAAGGCAGAAAAATGCCTAGAAAAGATGTCTTTTCAGCTGTTTCCACCCCAGTAACAGCTGCTCCTAAAAGGGGTTGTGGTTCCTTAAACATATATTTAACCCTATCCTCACAAGTGTTTTCTCTTCCTTAATAAAGGCAGGTTTTAAAACCAGCAGTGAATTCCAGTGAATCACAGCGCAGTATTTATCTCGGTCTCTAATCTGTACTTGATTTGTAATGTACTCGGAGCAGGGGCTGTATCTTTGGTCTTTGTCATACTCATTGTAGTGGATTTCTGTTCTGCAAATACAGCTCCCGTGTGCTGCCTCCACACAAAAAAAAATTAGTGATCGTAATAAATCACAATCAGATCTGATTCTGGGAAGACCGGTTGTGTGGGAGAGGAAAAGAACAGCGGTTGTTAAACCCAAATCATAGATGTTCCCGTACTCTCTTAAAGTCGTCGTCTCCTTTCACCGTCTGCCCTTGCTACTTATTAAAAAGTAAAATGACTCCTTTAGGATGAAGGCTGGTTCTGCTGGTGCTGAAGATGCCAGCCTTAAGCTCTGGGGACAGGTGTGGTACCTGCCATCACTCATAGAGCTCGGAAATCAAAATGCTTGTGCCTGTTATGTCAGTGCCTCACCCTGACAAAGGACTCACTTGACTGGTGGACTAGCTGTAATGAATTAGCTGGCTAAGCCAGTGTCCTGTTCCTCCCTCATCAAGGGTAATTAGCATTCTGCACCACCCCAGTCCCTCAAGCCTCAGGAGTCCCCACCTTTGAGCTGAGGTGCTAAGGGGAGATCAGCTCTATCTCCAGACCCTCCAATTTTCCGTGTTACAACTGATGTCACTTGCCAGACCTCTATCTCCTTTTCACCCTGGGGACCTCTCCATGAAGACACCTGTCTTGTTAGATCAGGACAGCTCCCTGTGGGGACATGGAGATGTATGGATCACGTCTACCGCAGTTTCCATCTCCAAACTATGACACGTCATCCATCAGCAACTTTCTGCTCTTGTGTCTCCTCGCTCAGTCATTAATGACCTTGATGGACACCTTCTGCTGTAAAAGCGTGTTGTATTGCTGGGTTTTTAGAGCACTGAAAAACATGCCTGTGATGCCATCAGAAACCTCCTGCTTCTTCTCCCACGCTGCAATTTTTGTTATATCCACAGCGAGAGAGAACATTAGCATGAATGAACATGATGGAGGGCTATAAAGTTTTTATTATCGCAATGGTAGGCAGTTCATCTTCCGAGTGGCAAACTAACTCCTTGGGAGGGAAGTGCTTTGGGAAGCACTCTCCAAGCAGTTTGGGGAGGAATCCCAGTGAGGACAAAAGAGAGGAAGGACAAGAGAATTTGTGTTGTTCATAAAAGCAGAATAAAGGCGGTTTGCCATAATCCAGCCTCAGCTACAGTCAGGTAGTGTGAAATGGTTGTCTTGAACTGGCCTGCCCTGGTATAATGGAGAACAATATTTAGCCTCTTATATGTGCTGGTTTCGGACTGGGTAATGTGATTAATAAAAAGCCGCTTGCACAGTACCCAGCCCAGCTGCCTTGGCATGTGTGCATGTTCTGGACTTGTGGATGAATAGCCTCTGAATGTGTAAGCACTTTTCTCGTATTTACTCCCCTTGCCCCTCCTCCCCCTTTAAAAAAGACAATTTCTGTGCATCTTTCCCTGGTCTCTTGGACTGTGACTTTCAGACAGGTTTGGATAAGTCTGTGTGGGTGTTGGGTTGTTTTGTCACTTATTACCAGGGCACTGCAGAGCTCTCTGAGTTTAAATTTATGTGTTCTGGCTTTTATTGCTGTGCCACTTGGCTCTTTTGAATTATCTCAGTCACCAAATGAATTTTATAGTCCATTGGGGGCTGTCCATGCTTGTTAAGGTGATATTTCCATCTCCAGTGCGCCGTGGAATCTCATCCGCCACGCAGCGATCGCTTCTACCCGCCAGCTGCCTATCGCTTCTTCAAGAAACTTCTCTGCTCCTCAGAGATTCGTGCAGTTATGGGATGGGCTGGGGCGGGGAGCTTCTGTAAAAACGTCCAACTCACAGTGCACAACAGGACACAACTTCTGCTCAGGAAAGAGGTGAAATAGATGCTGTTGCAATGTTGGGTTGTGCTGGCTGTCAAGCTGGCTCTGCTTGCTGCAGAGAACCAGCCAGATATGGCTTTTGGGTTCTGTGCACCCTTGGGGCCCCACTTCAAGGGTTTCAAATGCATCTCCCGGTGAAGAGGGATTATCAAGCTGAGGAGGTGGCCCCGTGGTAGGTGACTACAGAAATGGCAAGGACCTGGGCATACGCAGGGCTGCAGGAACCACAGACTCCACTGAGACCTGGTGTTCTGCCAACAGCACCGAGCCCGTTCACCTGGCTAGGCAAAAGGATGTTTGACTCTCCGTAGGGTTTTTCTCACGGTGTGGGCTCTAAGGGTTCGCTCTAGTGAAGAGTCCATCTTTGTGCAGAGCTGCTTCCTATGCTTTTATGACAAGGGCACCGATACGGTGCTCTGTCGTGGTGCAGAGAGACACTCAGACCAGACCTGGACGTTTCTTGCTTTGTTGCTCTTCCTCCTGATCCACCCTATTGCTCTGCATTAAACTGAGCCCTCTTCCGCTTCCAGATGGGGTTCTTATTTTGCATTACCGAAGTTGTCAAAGTTTTGGAGGCATTTTGGTGAGAGTTCCCCGTGCCCTGCATCAGATCATATCGGCAGATCTGCATGGTGGCAGAGGTAGGAGAGGGAGTGAGGAATTTATCACCCTGCAGTGGTGAACACTCAGGACTTGATACGGTGCTGCAGTGTGAGGAGTAGTCCAAGGACAAATCTAACAGCTTGCACTGATAACAAAAGTCTCCCTCTCCACCTCTGGTTCTAGAAGTCCAGCATCATCTTCCCTCTTTCCCAGGAGACTTTACCTCTTCCCAATGTTCCTCCTAGGAGCCCTACAGACACGTTTGGAACTGCTGTTTAGATGTCGCAAAACAACCATCCCTGTCTTGGAAACTCTGACCTGTTTTGCTCGGGATCGCTACCAAAAAGCAATTTTATACTCTTTTTGCCCCTTTCTAGCTTGGCTGGTCAGCAGCCCATGTACTTCTGCAGTCCCAGGAGCCTGCAGCTAGAGAGGTTGGCTGTTTTTCAGGCATTTTTATCCATCACATAGGCAAGACACTGGTTGTTGTTTAGACAACTGGGGTTCTTACATTTTTTCCCCAGATCCTCTTAGCAGAGCTCCCTTAGGAATAAACCACTGGAAGATAACTCACCAGTTACTTTTTCCTGTGCAAGAGACTCCTGATGGTATTGCTCCATGAGTCTCTGCTGGACTTAATGTGATGTTGTTTCCTCTCTCCGCTCCTCCTTTGTAAACTACTAATCGATGATATATTGCAGCTGTTTCCACGATTCATTTTCTTAAGCCTGTCGTAAGGCTAATTAGTTTTCAGTTTAATTCTTGAATCTTGCAAATTACTATGTGTGGGCACTTTGCGGGATCCGGGTCCCAAATTTTCATTCTCCACTCTCATTAGCTGCGTTGGAATCTGTGTTAATCCCTCTCCAGCTCACTGTCTTCATACAGCAATTTAACTGCTTCATATTAACCTGCCGTACCTCTTCCTGCTGCTTTGCGCTGCGTTCCTACGTCACCCTCGTGGCAGCCGTTGTGTGTCTCCTACTGCGTGCAAATAAAAGCAAATTATAAACAAAATAAAACTTAAGAGCTATACATTTCCTCCTTTTCCTCCCTTTCTGTCCCTCCAAAAAGAAAAGATCCCTGTAAGGAGTTATCATGTCCATCATTTAACTAAACTGTACAAATCTAGAGGTTTTAATCTCCCCTCGTAAATCAGTCTCTCCAGGCCCTTATCTAGCTCAGCCATCTGGAAATTAAAAAATAAAACGGAGCTCACAATAGGAAGAAGTCTGAAATGTCTTTTTAGGGGAGGGAGAGGAACGGGAGGGATCGAGTGGTAGCAAATAATACTTGGCATTTTATAACCCCTTCCATCTAAGGATCTCAATGTGCTTTGCAAACGGGAGTGAATGAAGGGTCACCATGCCCCCCGTGAGGCTGGGAAGACTTGTCACAAATCCATGTCAGCCAGCACTTGTCTTTATGAAGCACGTGCAGCTGTTGGAATTGCTCAGCCACTGCAGGGATAGAAGTCATTTCTTCCTGCTGCAGGAAATTAGCTTCTACCTGTTTCAGTTGGAGGTGGAGAGGAGAGTTCCCATTAGAAGCAGAAGGTCTCCAAGAGAGATGAAAAATTCTGACCCCTTTTAATAAAGGTAACTGGATTAAATGCAAATGCGATA